TTCTACTCATTCAGAATCCTTTATTTCCTTCAACTTAGTGACTAGCATACCAGCACACTCTATTTTTCACTGCCCTTATGTTTTTGCCTCAAGCTTTAACTGATTATATTCTTTGATTTCCTTGCCCTGGTGTAGATTCTTTTTTAACTCCAGATCCTAAAAGCGACACTAGCCGCTTTTTGTTCCTTGGAGTTTTTTTTGTTGTTTCTCCCCCTTCAGGATAATTATATTCTGTTGTGCCTTTTATTATCGTGTCTTTTAGGATCTCCTAACCTTCTACACTCTTGGGCTTTATTTAATAGTGAGCTCCCTCCTCAACTCTACACACTAAACCATGCTCATTAGGTTTCTTAATCCTCCATAATTTGCTTTCATGAAATCTTATACCTTTGATTTGCTGTGTTCTGTGAGCCTATTTCCTCAGTATAGCGATTCCAAGCAGCCCAGAATCAACAAGCACTAAACATAAGCTTATTCACTTTCTCAGCCAACATGACTCTATAGACAGATTTTTTAAAAAAATCTTTGTTTTGAATGTTTATGGACCATGAAACTATACTATTTAACTTGGTATTTCATTTTCTTACCCAAACATTGCTTGAGAAGGTTAGGACCACAGAATTGGGTTATAGGCAGTCTTTATATACAGTTAATAACTTGTAAGCATCAAGTTCTTGGTCAGAAAGCTATTCTATTTTAATAGAACATAAATAACAGTACCCTGATGTTCTATTAGAGACTAGTAAATTCCAACTATATCTTTGCTTTATACCCAGAATTCAGGAGAACACAAAAGCATCCTTTTCTTAGTTATTCTGCAAGAGCTCTGCTTTTCCAAATGGGTTCTTTTTTAAAGACAAGGACATATTTTTGAAATTTAACTAGAGAGCTAACTCTGGGTCTTTTCAGCAGTTTATTCTCTGCTCCTTTTCCCACTCTAGTTCACCAGCACTTTTGTTGATGGGTATGTATAGAAAGGCCAAGAGAACATATATCTCTTTTTGTTTTTATCTTTTTAATTTTGTAGAAATCTTGCTTTAAAAAAAATCTTGATAGAGGACTGAAAGAGTTAATGAAGTTTCTGAAGGTGCCTAGTTTATTCAAGCAAAGTTTACACTTCACCCCTGAGCATGTTAACTTGTGATCCTACCCATCCAGATGACAGAAAGCAAAGCCAGTAAGTTCTTTATTTAATTGGTTTGCATCCACACACTGACCTCCAGGGTTCTGTTTATATAGCCTATCATGCAGTATGCTCCATAGTTCTCTGCCTCTTTCAAAAGCATGTTTCTCCTGAGATTTGATATATGGCTTTCATGTTTAATCACTACATTAAACTCAATGCTCTGCTTCCTCTAGCTCAACTAACTTCCCTTCTTGGGAGGTGTGGAGAAGAGTACAGCTTCTTAATACTTCTGAGCTTAAAAGGAAGTCTGTTTTACTCTATTAGTGAAACCACCAACTCCACACAATCCTAGGCAAGCAATATTAATGCATCAACTAAGAAATGGTGTTAAAGTGAAAACCTTTAAACTCCTTGAGAAAGACGCAGACTGACTGTTCTCAATCGAAAAAGTCCAAACGTTTTGGTGATTGAGTTATAAATCAACAGAAGAAGTCTTTAATCAGTATAATTCAGTCAAAGAGACCACAATTAAATGGCAACTGAAGTTTTAACTAAATTAATCTTTAGGATAGAACATTCATGGCTCTCTCAGATCAGAACTAATTTAGCACCTATTTTGAGGGGTAAATGTTTTCTTAATCACAAAATTCACCATGAATTGAATTTTCACAGTATCTTTAACTAAATGTGAAGATGAAAATGCCATGACCCTTTATATAATAATTTGTGTGTGACCCAAATATCTAAGATGCATGAAAAACTAAAAACAAATAAATAGCCTTTGAAAATAAGTCAAGACAATCTATAATCTTCAGGTTTTAAAAAACATGTATGGCGCATCCATAGTGGCACAGACACCAGGGCGTATTGCATAATACTGGAGCCATGGGAGATGGCCCAGGTTCAGATCCCAGGTCCAGTTAGGCATGCTGGGCACACTACAATCCTGGCTGGCTAGAAGCCTAGGGGCGGGAATCACAGTGAGGTGAGACCCTACACAGGATGCTTACCTCTCTCTCTAAGATATAAACTTTTTAAAAAATCATGTAGAGTGTATGTGTTTTACTCCAAAATATTTCAAGCAAAAAAAGAAAGCTAAAACAGCATTTTATTCCAAAATATTTCAAACAGAAAAAGAAAGCTAAAACAAAAATGACAAGTTCTTATATAAACAACAGTAAAATTTAAATAACGATTATGTGGGTGGTCATCCTAGTGAACCCCATATTGTTACTTATGGCTGAAATTTTTCATTGTACAAATTTTTTTAACTTTAAAAAAAAATACAAGGTAGCTACAGGCTTGCTTTTGAGGGGAAAAAAAGATACAATTCAGATAAGAAAACATTTAAATCACTTTGTAGGTTGATAATTTGGTATAGATTCCAGGACTGAAATATTTGACGTGTTGGTAATAAAAACTTTCATTCCTTTCTTCTGAATCTCACTCCACAACCTCATTTTCAGAAACTACAAATGTTGTATAGTAAGCTCTGCATAATTTGGATTGTTGTCTTGAAAAAAAAACCAAATGTGTCTGTACATGTATACACACATATTTATGTATACACACACATATAAAAAATTCGACTTTGAAATCCTTTCCTTTATGGCTAGACTTGACCACAGTATTTATTTTTAAGTCTTTTTTTTTTTCTTAGTAAGATCAGCATCTTTCCTCATTTAAAAATCTTTGTCACAACTGTATACAACATTAAACAGAGCTAGTTTACTTTGTATCTGGTGAACAATAAAGAATGAACCTATTAAAGTCATACATTTAATTGTTCCAATATGCTACCTTATTTCTAACCAAAATTTGCGTGCTATAGAATGCCAAAAAAGAAATCTCTAGCTACCTTTGTCATGAGTCCCACCTTCAATAGTAAGCTAAAAGAGCTTAGAAGAAAAAATAAATACCTGTTGCTTAATTTGGAACCATCTTAATTCCCTCCACAACATATTTAAATTCAAAATTAAAAGTATAAATAAACTTTTAATCAGCATTCCCCTTAAAAACTTCATAGCATAGACCTTTGTAGTTTTCTAAAATGTGCAGATGTTGCGCATGTGAGACATTTTAAAAGAAATCAGGACTTGAAAAACACGAGTCATGGACAAACTCTTGGGTCACAAGAGTGAAAGATGTGCACCTGTGCAGATGTTATAACTATTTTCATGATAAATATTAACCTTCAGGACAGGAACTTAGCAGCACACTTCAATTTGGATTTAAAATTTTAACATAAATTATCGGACTTTGACACTAGCTGCCTAATATTTCAGTTTTGTACACTGTTTCCAGGTTTTACCTTCAAGATGAACCTGGTGGAGTTTTTCATTTTTAAAAGCTATATTCCAGATCTTGTACCTTAAAGGCAGTTTCTGACTTGATGTTAAGGGAATTAAATAGATTTTAATAAATAAAGTGGGTTCTTAATAAATATTACTGACTGGCAGAGATTTTTTTAAAAGATACATAATTTTTAATGTGAAAATTCATTTTCCATCAATTTTAGACATTTCATTTTATTATACTTAAAGATTTTAACTATAAAAGAAAAAGACTTTCTACCATTTTTTGAGTCATAGTCTGTGAATCAATATAAAAGAAGGCCAAGAGCTGATACAATGCCATCCCACACTTTGTCTCTATAAAGCTCCTCTTGTCCTGTCATTGGCACATGTGACTCAGAAGCACCAGAAGACACAGAATAGAAAGATTTCTGTAATAAAGGTCCTCAAATTAAATGAATTCATTAACTCAAATGCAGACTTCATTGTTAAAGAGACTCACCAAATTGAAGAAATTTATAAAACTATTTGGACATTTGAAAAGCCCAGATGTGTTTTTCTATGTTTTTCCATGCAAAAATGCATCAGGACTTTTCCAGCCACCCAATATGTAGTAAAAGAAAGATGAAGCTTATGAAGAAGAAAAGCATGTTGACTCAACACCACTGTCAAAAAGGATATATAGCACTTGATTCCTTTGTGATCAAAATGAGCAAAAACATTTTTTAAATCAAAATACAGTGGAATTCAAACCAGAGTAAGAATGCTACTCTTAAATTCAACAACTTATGCATTTTTCTGCAAATTATTTTCTCCTGGAATTAGAAACAAATGCTTATTTATCTATTAACAATCCACCAAAGGGCATAATTCCTTTGTACCAAATGCAAGACAAATTTTGTGCTTTAATTGTAAACACCACGAAAAACTCTGAAACATATAAATCACAGCAAGTGACATCAAGACATAGTGAAACCTAAGGATTACATAGCTATATTCATACTTAATAAGAAGAAAACATCTAACGAAGCTGATATGCCACTGTTTGCAAGAACGTAAATAAATTCTGTCTTAATAGATACAAAATAATGGTTTAAAGGGGCCTTAATTTCCTATCATCCCATTAAACATTTTTAAAATCTTATTACTAATAAATCATAAGCACATTTCTATTTCTATTCACTGAAACTACAGTTTGGGGGAGTAAATACATCCATCACCCACATTTGATGTCAAATCACTTGTGGAGAATCTTCAAGTTATTATGATGTTTTGTTTGCTGAGAAAAATGATATTCAGTATTGAGCAACATGTACGTACAACCTCCACTTCTAATTTTAAAATGAAACTCTGCCATTATAGAGTATCTAATGCTTATTGCAGAACTATGAAGAATCCCAAAGAGAACATCTCAAGTCATGTCAAAGCAGCCAATAGCCCTGCTTTGAGGTGGGCTCATGTTTTGAAAAGACACTGCCCAGTCTGTTTAAAATCAAAATGGTTCTTGATCTGATGAATTGCTCCTTGGAGAATAATGTAAATAAAATATACTCAGAATAACATTATTAATGTAAACATACCTGAACCGGAGTCAAATTTGGTTTCTGACCTGCAAAAGGAAAGAAATACTTTACAATAGAAAAGTTGTTTATGAAAGAAAAACAGTTATTGTAGTGGGGTAGGTAGATATAATAGTTACAGGTTTTAATATAATGGTCAAGAAGTAAAATAGCTTTCCAAAGTGTAAATATACATTTATTTTCACCATTTTAAATGAATGCATTAGCCTAGGTCTCCTAAATGAGTACATACCACTACAGACAGCACTGTACGGAAAAGAGAGTAACCTTTTCAGCTTTTTGAGAGAAAGAGAATAAATTATGTTTTTAAAAATGCACCCAATCTTTACAGATTAACTTGTTTCAGTAATATAACAAAGCATTTTTAAACAAATTCATAATTATCCTCTTTATTATTAAAGATTTTTCATTATTCAACGGCAAATAATTTTTAACTAAGTTCTTAGCACTTAGCAAATGAACCAAGTAACCCCATACATTTAATAAGAGGGAGGAAAAAAAAAATCTGAGCCCTTGTGGGAACATTATGTTTCAGATATAGGTTAATACTGGTTGTAAATTCAGAAGCCTTTGAAGCTCTTGGTTCGGCTGTGGGAAAACGTCTGTTGGGTAATTACTCTCAAGATGCTGCTGATGTGCTGTCAAGCAGAATTAACCTATGACTAGGCCTATCTACACAAGCTACTATAAGACAGCATTGTCTATATCGAGCTCACAAACCAATTAGTGGGCATGCTCCAGTCGGATTTATATCACACATTAACAATCAATAGTAAATATGTTCACAGCTGCCACAGCAAGATACAAGGACTGAGCAGCAGGAGTCCTGTTCAAGGATGTTACATTGACAGAGAAGGGGTTTTTGGGTTTTTTTGTGTGTGTGTGTTTTGTTTTTCTTTTTCTTCCTGGGGAAATGTAGTTAACTAAGTGGGAAAGGCGATTTCTTTGAAATTATGCCAGGGTACCAAAGCACATTTGGAAGCGGTGGCTTTCTTTATGTAAATTAGCCTCAAGAAAAGTCATCAAAGGGGGGTTTCTTTGGTAATAAAAATTCATTTTCTCAAGTATCCCCAAATAAAGTTTCACCTGACACTTAAAGTCAACAATTGTTTAAAACATATGTTATTATTTATATTATATGATTATTATACATGTTGCCATGCAATAAGTAATATGTACAATTACATAGATACACAACAGCATTGGGTGTTGATAACCACCACTGTTAAGCAGGTCCACACTTTCCCCAAACCCTGGCCCCACCACAGTCCTCACCTCAATCTTTCCCTTCCCTCCGATCTCAGGTGCAGACCTATTTTCATGTCTCATCCTCTCAGATTCTGGACAGCTGTGCCTCATGCTGTCCTCTGCGTTTCCACCTTGAGCATAACTCTAGTAGTATTCACATACCGTCCCGCTGGTTTCCTTTTCTATCTTCCTCACTAGCACACAGACGTGCTTATTAACCTCAGCAGCCACAGCACCTCAACAGCGCCTAGTCCTTGTGTTCAAATGTCTGTTAAAGGACACTTCTGCATCCACAAACATCCTTTCTCCTTTATACCTGCACGACAGCCAGTCGTGTGCTTCCTGACGTCTAAGATTCCCTCCGACCAAGTCCTCAAATGCATTCTCTCATCTTCCCTGAAACTAGCTGTATCGATTTCTGCTTCTCTGTCATATCCTCAGTGGCTCTCCACACGTTCCTGTTCCCTCCAACATATAAGCACTTTATCTTTTTTTAATTCTTCATTTAATTCTGTCTTGCTTTATCCTTTTTTTTTTTTTTTTTTTTAAGAGAGATTTTTGCTATAGGGCACGTGCGCTCGCCAGACAGACAGAGAGAGACATTAGAGACAGAAAGCGAGAAATCACCTCCCAGGGGGGATAGTCACACCGCAATCCCTTCTCCTCCATCTCCTCTCGGGATCTTGGGCACGTACGCACACGCGGCCGCCGTGAGATTTAAGCCACCGGGTCCCTGCGGTCGACTACGTGGGAGTCCAGTGACATAGCCATTATGCTAACTGCTGGTTCCCCCTCTTTCTTCTGGCTTTACAATAAAGTTTACTGAAAAGACGGATTATGTCTTATATCCTATTTCTTCTTTTCCTCATCCCCAACATACTCACATTTTGAACCACTACAATCTGCACTTGCTCAGGTTTTTACCAGAAGCTTTCTAATGTTAAATGCAGAAACCCTTTGACAATCCTTTACTGAATCTTCCTCCTTCAATGGACATGCTGGCCATGTCTTTCCAGTGTCTACCATTTTCCTTCCTCCTTCTGTTCCTGAAGCGTTGGTAAGCCCTAAAATTCAATTCTGGGGCCTCTTAAACCACTCTGCCCACTCTCTAGGGTTTAGACATGTCTCAAAATCACTACAGGAACTTGCCAACATGCAGTATTTTCAGAGCTGCTCCCAGTGCTTCTGATTCAGTAGACCAGAGCTCAGAAATTTGCATTATATCAAACCACCCAAATGATTAGGATGCAAATGGTTCCCTTAGTCACCAAGCACTGAGAACTATTTCTTCAGCCCCTTTCTGATCCTTATACTCAACTAACAACCCCCCCCCAAATGCTACACAGCCACCACAAATGTCATGTGCAGTGTATACAGGATCATTTCACTTTCCCTCAGATGTAGTTCTGTAATGTCCCCTACCCTGTAAGTGGGAAGTCAGTGTTATCCTGTTTCTTCTACACCCCAATATCTAATTATTCATCAAAATCTGTTGATTCTACCACCTTCTCCTCCTCTCTACCTTCACTATTGCTGTTTTTAGACCTATCTTTGGCTTAATAATCTTGTAACCAGTATCTTCCCTCTCTTCTGATCCACTCTTGAGTGAGCAAGAAGCCTCTAATGCTGGCCTTCCTCTGGCTGAACTCTCCTCTCCACAAGGCAGGGAGTCCCTCATCCACCTAAAGTTCTCAGCACCAGGGTCTCCAGCATTCTTTACCTAAATGGCCCTGAGTACTTCTCCAGTTATGTGAGCCCCTAACTCAGATCAGATGGTACTACTAGTGTGTGTGTGTGTGTGTGTGTGTGTGTGTGTGTGTGTGTGTGTCTGTGTACCTCTAGGTCTAGGATGAATGGGACCAGCAGTTAACGTAATGGCTATGTCACAAGACTCCCACGTAGTCAACTGCAGTTCGTGTCCAGGACCCGGTGGCTTAAAACTCATGCTGGGCCCATGTGCATGTGTGCCCAAGATCCCAAGAGGAGAATGGAGGAGAAGGGATTGCGGCATGACCATCCCCCTGCGGGGGTGATTTCTCGCTTTCTGTCTCTCTGTCTCTGTCTGGCAAGCACACGCACCCTATAGCAAAAACCTCTAAAATAAAAAAAAAGAAAGAAAGAAAAGATTTTGGAGGGACCCCATAACCCCTGGAAGTGTGAAAGGAAAGCGGAACAAAGAGAGGAAGGGTCAGCTTCCCTCATTACTGCTCACTGTCACACTCAGAGAACTCTTCACTCAAACCCTCCTGTGAGGGTGGCATGAGCATCCAGAAGCCAGAGGTTGCCCTTGATCTGGACTGGCATGGACTACAGGGTCTTGGGACTCAGTTCCTGGCTGATGGGTAGAGAAGAGGTCGTAATGAGTAGATGGAGCCTCTGATAGAAATGAAAGAGTCCTTTGCCCAATGAAGAGGAAGAGAAAGGTGTTTATCTCAGGATTGCATAGCTGTTGGAAGAGACTGCTGAAAGAGCCTCCCTGCCTCTCCTTCCACTTGGTGGGCCAAATCAGTTCCCTTGCATTTCCTCAGGCCTTGGCATCTCCTTGTGGTAAATAGTCTTTTTTGTAGAAGGAAAATTAATTTTAAATTTGCAGTATTCTCAGTTATTTGGTATCAAAGTTCATTTTTCATTATATGGTATATTTGTCAAGATAGTTGGTATATTCTTTTCTAATGGTTTGCTACCTTGCCTGATCACTTTTAAATATTTAACTACATTGTATCTATACTCCCATTTGTCCTCTTGCCCAGGTCCTGCAAAGCTAGAAAGAGGCCTAGTAATAAGTCATCATGCAAAAACACATGCCTTATTATGGGTCATGGACAAAAGGTTACTCCATGGTGGTGTGGGCCCACATGGCGCTCCTCACACTGTAGGGCTTTAATCTAAGCTCTGGTGGGGCAGACTGGGTCTCGTGCATCTTCATATCCTCAACACTTTGCGTGGCACGTGGCACACATAATACAGATTATACAAGAAAGGCAAAGGAGGCCAGGTGGTGGCACAAAGGGAACACAACTGAATCCACAAAGGAAATGCCCTGGATTCCTGTCCTAGGACCTCCCTGAACACATGAGTTCACACATGTGTGTCCATGATCTGGGCTGGCTGAGACTGGCTGGATCATGGCATGAGAATCCTGTTGGGAGGGTTTCTCTCTCTGTCTCTGTCTCTTAAAAAGTGAATAAATACACTTAAAACTAATAGACTTTATGGCTAGATTTGTGCTAGCAGCAATTATTGACAAATTCTAAAACTTTAATGAGAAGACAAAAGAAACTCAAACAAGCAGAATAGGATTGACAAGTGCTATAGACATCTTAATAGCCGCTAAAATGTGCCAGTACAGATAAGAAGATAAAGGAGACCGTCCTCTGAACCCCACAGAACTCTGCAGGAATTATGTGGCGGGACAAAGAGCATCCTATGTAGCTCACTAGGGATTAACTGCATCATTGTTTTATGACACAACTTTGTAGCTAATACAATAAATCATGAAATTAATCATTAAATTACACTCTTTAGTAAGGCAGGTAAATCTCTTATTTAGATAGGATTACAAACAAATAATTATACGTTAGTAATTTTAGGTTTGAAATAGATGTTTTGTTTGTCTAGAGATTATGTTTATTCAAAGCTCTTCATTTCCTGTGTATAAACAGAAGAGAGAACACAAAATTGGGAAAATATACATTAATGATAAAATGACCATGGTCAGAATATCTGGTTTTTAGTCTTAAATCAACTACTTATTCCTACAAAACTCTGAAAAAAAGTAATT